GCGCTTGCAAATGCTTCTGCAGACTTTCAGCTTTTAATATATTAATAGGAAGTATGGAAGGTTTTGATTTCTTCAGCTCTTCTAGCCCTTTTCTGGTTTTGTGGACTTCCACTTTGGGCTTTTCCCTTTGTTTTGCCTGGGCTGCTCTTTCCTTTCCAGAAGGACAGGTATAAAGTTCAAAGCCATGCGGGAACTTTGCCATTTGGCCACCAGGCTCGTCTCTCCCCTGCCTCCTGTTCCTCTCCCTCCGCTCCGCTCTTGTTTCTGGATAGACATGAGATCGCTTCAAGGCTTGGTATAATTTCTTGTGCAGCCTCCATGCTGAGTTTAAGGATTTTGATGGTTGCATAGATGCCACCAACTCCCTACCTAACCCCCCAGAAACTCTGGTTCTTCTTCCATTCCACCTATTCTCTAATCACTACTGAATTTTTTGTGTCAGAGGCTAAGCTAATTCCTTCTTGAAGATATGGATATTTAATGATCGCTCAGTGAGGGGAACTGGGTTTCTTCACGGACCCATTTCCATCCACCAAGCTGAACGCCATTTGAGACCTGGGGCTTGCAGGTGGTGCTTGGAAGAGTCCAAAGGGGCTGGAGGCACCGTCAGAAAGCATGGAAGTCTTGAACTGGGAGGGCTGTCTGAGTGCAAAGACCTCCAGCCCTGCACCGAGCCACTGCTCCCACCAGCCAGCCCAGCAGAGCAGCCCCATTACGCCTGCGCCCAGCTGGGAAGGGTGGTCCTCTGCCCCAGTGAAGGGTCGGCCGGGGGAACGAAAGGCTCAACCTGCTGAAGCCCCCTACCCGTGTTGGGGTGGGCCCTCTGCAAGGAAAGGTTCCCCACCTGCAGATCGACTCCCTCAGTCCTTCAGCCAAGTGATGGGGTCGTCAGGCTTAATTTAATTTTTGACCTGGCAAGATTTGAGTGATTTGATCAGTGCAATTCTCTAGAGACAAAAAAAAAATAAAAGCCATTATTCCCGCTTCCCGCTGTATTTGACTTTGATCAAACAACGGGTTAGTTATCCCTGAGGAAAAGGCATCAGCTGACTGGAGGTCTCAGCTGGAATATTGTGTTTAAACGACAACCGGGCTATGCCAACACACAGCACCTTTTTGTTAAAGGTGCCTCCTACTTAATGAAGTGTTGCATAAAAACTAAATTGTCCCCAGATAGTTTTAGTCGGGAGTATGTGGCCAACACACAGAGCAGCAGCTTATTAAAATGGAAGAAGCAAACACAAATAACAATGATGAAAGGGATCCCTGATTCAAAATGATCTTGCTTGCCTTACAGCATTGACATTTGTGTCAATGCCGTATTAGTGGTAACCAAATTTCTCATTGTCTGCTGCAATGTAACCAACTCCTCGGGTACAAAACTCCATTAATCACGGAGGTGTGCTCTCTGTGTCTGCGCTGGTGGGAAGATAAATTAGGTAGTGCTTTGCAGAAAGAGAGGAGGGCATGCATAGAGTATAGATGGAGAGGATAAGCAAAACCTACTCCTGGATCTTCTTCCTTGATGTTTTCTCTGTGCCAAGCCAAAGAACGGTTCAGAGACTGCAATTTTATTAACTATCCTGCATCATTTTGTGTCTGAGTTTGCATTTTAGAGGAAACGAAAGTGTATTTCTATGCTTAAGGCAGCAGGTTGCGGGGGGTGTGTTTCTGTATCTCTGCAGATTCTACGGGCATTTTCACCGGCTTAAAATGGGAGTACGCTACTCAGTTTCCCAGTTGTCTCCATCCCGATGGAAACTGCAATGCTGTCAGCAGACCCTGCAGACCGCAGTCCAGTCCGCCGCAGCTCCGCCACGGACCCCCTGCACGATGCTGGGCAGCTCGCTGCGTTTCGCTCTGCCTCGTTTCCCCTGTCTGAAGCGCAGGTAACAGCGTTAATAACGCCGCGTTAACGTTCACGAGACAGGCCCAAAGAAAGGACTTGTAGGTGTGGGGTTTTTTTCAATATTTGGGTTTCTGGAGCTGTGTGAGACATGGATGCGCCGCACGCGGCCGGTGCCAGCCGGCCCTGGGTCTCCCTTCACGGCTCCACGCGCGCCCTTGGCCAGGTCACTCACCGTGCCTGCCATCAGCAGGCTGCTCCGTAAGTACACGCACGGCCTGGCTGCAGCCCGGGTTATACGCATGGGGAAACTTCGCTCCAGGGACCTTCCTTCCCAGTAATCCCCTTGCCGTTTTCTAGAACCTGTTCTTCTTATCCCAGTGACTCGTTTTCATATGGTTTGCCCATGCTTTAGCCCCAGATGTTGTGTGGGTTGTCTGAAATGACTGGAGCATCTCTCCTAGGAGGAAAGGTTGAGGGAGCTGGGCTTGTTCAGCCTGGAGAAGGGAAGGCTGAGAGGGGACCTTAGAAATGCCTCTAAATATCTGCAGGGTGGGGGTCAGGAGGACGGGGCCAGACTCTTTCCAGTGGTGTCCAG